AAATGAGTTGGCTGAGCCTCTGTCGGACACCTGTCCACCACAGGACCAAGGGGCACATGCAACGCGATGGGACATCACGGCGTGATGGCCAACCCAACCCAACGCTGCGGCTGCAGGCTCCATCGCAGAGCCTCAGCAGGAGGACTCCCTTCCCTTCTTTGAGACATACGTACGTTGGCTCATCGTCCAAAGGAGACAAGAGAGTGCAGAAACACGAGACCCAGGAGGAAGGCAGAAGCAGCCTCACACAAACCATCTGCTCTCTCCCAGAGAGGTTTCCCTGTTAAAAGGACCAGCAGAGAGCACGGCACTCTGGTCTTAAGTTAATTAGGTGACTTGAGGCAGGGTCAAAGGGAGCGACCTCGTGGGATGCTGAGCTGTGCGCTGCAAGGGACAAGGTGGCACTGAAGTGGGCGGAGATTTTCCCACTTAAGTGGATCCTCCTCCTCTCCGTGCCTCCCAGCTGGGCTCCAGATCTGATGTCTGACCTGCAATATCCCATCTCCTGTCCAGAGAGGATCCTGGAAAGACGAAGACAGCAAGCAACGCGCTTAACGGACAAACCTCTGAGAAGGGAGGATGTGCCCCCTTCCCAGGGACAAGCAACTCTTCAAGCTGGATTTTTTTTGCTGTTGCTTGTCCTCATGTTTTAAGCCCCTGCTAAGAGCCAGGGAGAATCAATATATCCAAATATACCAGACTTCTCCCAGAGTCCTCTCGCTGGTTTGCTGCTGATGTATAGACAGATGATCTCATGAGACCTCTGCCACATTAGGCCACCGTGTCTCATCTATCTTAAGTGCCGTGATTAGTACCACGTCGGAGCGCCTCACGTATTGAATGTATTTATCCCCCCACAGGTCCTGCGAGACAAGGGACTGCTATTGTACCTCTTCCAGGGAGGACACGGAAGGCCACGGAGGTTAAATGATCTGATCACAGAGGATATCCGGGACGTGGCAACGTCGGGATGCTCTGAGCATCTCCCCTGCCTCATGCCTCTGCCCTGCGAAGCACCCAGGCAGCACCTATCCCAGAAATCACAGCTTGGACTCAGAATAAGACTCTGGCCCCGCATGAGATCCAGCTTTCAGCATCGAGCCTAATCCTGAGATTAATGTGGGATTCCCACTATAAAGACCTCTCGATCAGACCTCTTATGAGTAAATACACCATCAAGCCAAACCGTAATGTTTTCCTACCCTGGCAGACGCTGTCTTAAGCCTTACACCAGAATCCCTCATACTACAGCAATAATCAAAAAGCAATTAGACAAAACCATGGCAGAAAAGTCCATCAAGGGTCATTAAGGATGATGACTTGGATGCAGCCTCTGGCTCAGGATGTCGGCGCATGGCATGCTGGTTGCCAGGCAGATGTGCCAGTGAAGGTATCTGCGTGCACACACCTAGTTTTTACACCCTCTCCTCATGTCCCTGGCCCCATCACAGCAGGCTAACCATGCTTGCCATCCAACCACAGAGCCCTCATTATCGTTACTGCTAAGCCCTGCCTGCTTCTCCTGGAAGGAGGCTGCTGAGCCCTCATCCCTCCTGGGACAGCCCTCCCCGCAATTCCTCAGCACATTTCCCAAGCTTAACGGGAAGCTTGATAGGTCTCGTCGTCTGCAGCATGGATAAATATCCCCTGGTTAACCCAACACGGTGCTGCTCGCTCTGCTAGCCAGCAGCTCCGCGTGCTTCGCTTTCGCCCGGCGTGCGGGACGACGCGCTTTCTCCTAGCCGAGAAATTCCAGCCTTCGTTCGCTGAGAGATGAAAACCAGCCTGACAACATGGCAATCGCCATGACAACATCAGAGTTACCCCCAAAAATAAATAAAGAGCCCAGTAACTATGGAAACACCTGAGTGACCAAAACCAGGCTATTAACTAGAAGACCTCGCCGCAGTTTACAGATGGCATCGGCACCGTGAGGCTGGAGACCGTAATACATCCGAAGCAAAGAGATGCTCGGCACCTACGGGTGTAAATCTGAGTATGAGTGGGCGCATCTCATGCTGCCTTTCATACCCTAGTGTCCAAGTCCCCTGCACAACCTACACCATATCCAGAAAGATGCTGGAAGGAGGATGAGGATGGGTGCAGGTAGGGCCAGCCACCGCACAAGGCTCTGAGCGGCCACAGAGGCACCGACACTAGTGCGATTCATCAGCAGAAAACTCTCTTGCTCAGGTTTACTCAGCTCTTGAGTTAGTGCAAACGCCATCCTCCTCAGGCTGTGGGGATTTCTTCCAGCCCCCAAACCGAACAGAGCCCCAAAACCAGGGTTAATGGCTCCCAAAACATGCCAACAACTGCAGACACAAAAGCTGAGCAGAGCTTACCAGACCAAGCTGATAAACACACATTGCACCGGGCCAGAGCAACGCGTGGGAACAGCTGAGTGGTCAAGGGAGCTGGGAGCAGCTGGAGAAGGGTTTCCAGAGGGATCAATCACCAGGAAGCCAGGCTACTCTTGGTGTAAATCCTCTGAAGGACCCGACTGCACGCTCCCCCGGTGAGCAAACACTCTTATTTGCTCCGTTTCCCACCAAGAGCCGCACACGGTAGGCTTACAGCTGCCAAGAAAATAATAAAGCCCGTGAAGTGCCTTTGCGTGGAGGAGCACTCGCCGGCGGAAGCATGGGGAGCGGCTCCCGCAACTACCGGGCTGTCCG